GGGGGGGGGGGGAGGCAAACACAGCCCTTGGAACCGGAACCAGGACTCTTGTGATCACGTCCCATTCCTGGTCTAAGTCTCCTCTGAGAACGTGACCCTCCGGGACACGCCAAGCCCTAGCAGAGGACCGCATTGCAAGCACTCGGGGAGTTTTTCTTGAATGCTTGAGTGAAGAAATGCTTTCCTGTTTCCTGGTACTAGCCCCAGACTCTCATCTGATAAGGGAAGAATCCGATTTTGGAAAAACAGCAACCGCTTTGCAACACCAGTTGGTGCCACAGTCTCGGTGGATTTTTTAAAAAAATTCAGAGAGCAACTGGTGTCTTTTCTCCTTCTTTTGGTTCCCTTTGTGAAACTGCCACGTGTTCCTGGTGACCAGATCTCGGATGACATGGAGGCAAGAAGAAGTGGGAGAAAGGCAGAAGGCGGGACTCTGATTCCTGAGGACCTTTGTGTCTGGTGGGGTTCAGGCTATTTGCGGGATTATGGGCCTGGCATGGGCACTCAGCTCCCTGCAGAGCCTGGTGGTTCCTGTGGCTAGAACAGTACCCTGGATTCCACTTTGGTGATGGTTATACCAGGCTTTGTCCCTGCCCCCTTGAGCACAAAACACTCTGCAGTTCTAGCTGAGAAAGTGTGCCAGTCTGAAAAGCACAAACCCCTGGCTTTCTCTGGTCTGCACAGAATGGATACTCTCTTTGCTAAAACAACCAACCCTCCTTGGCAGAAAGGGTGGTGGCAGCCAGTGGCCTGCCGACTGCTTACGCAGAATGTTCTACTCACTGCTTCTGACAGGCCCAAGCTCATCAAATTCTAATAAATATCACTTTCAATAAATCCCTCTTAAATGACTTTCTCAAATTAACATGGATTGATTATAAGCATCGATCCCTCATATGAAGTCCCGATTGTGCCAGATGCTGTGCTGGGCACTTTTTGTGAATCATTTAACATTTGTGAAAATCCCTCCAGCTTTTAATTATGCCCATTTCACAGATGAGAAAACTGAGATGCACCAAGCATAAATAACATGCCCAAGTTTGCCCAGTGAAAGGTGGCAGAGCCAGATCTCAAACCTTTGTCTTTCTGACTCCAAAGCCCATGCCTTTCCCTGCAGCACTATAGTTGAGGTCTCGCTTTGCATGTGCCCCCTTCTGCCCTGTTCCCTCCTCATTCCAGGCTTAGGCTGCTGATGACCACCAGCTTGGCCTATTTTTTGTAAAATGCTATTGTCTGCCATGGGTCACAGTGTAGATGGCCCTGGACACCAAGTGTGTGTCTGTGAGACAGAGAGAGAGAGAGACAGAGAGAGACAGAGAGAGAGAGAGAGAGAGAGAGAGAGAGAGAGAGAGAGAGAGAGAGAGAGAGAGGGAGAACACATGCTTGAGGGAGCAGAGTGTCCACATAAGTCAGTGCCTGGAGACTCTTTCCATGATTGCAGGTTGGAAGGAGTTCCTCAATATCCCGAATCAGATTCTGACTTCAGTCCCAGGTTGGCTGTGTCACTTTCAAGAGTTATAATGAGTTGGATGGATGAACTGGCTTGTATCTGAAACTCAACCAGGCCTCATCTCATTACCAACTGGAAGCCCACCTGTATTAGTCAGGTTGGGCTGCTATAACAAAATACCATAGGCTGAGTGGCTTAAACAACACACATGTATTCCTCACAGTTCTGGAGGCTGGGAAGTCCAAGATCAAGGTGCCCGCAGATTTGGTTCCTGGTGAGAACTTTCTTTCTGGCTTGCAGATGACTGCCTTCTGGTTATGTCCTGCCTCACATTGCAGAGATAGAAAGGCTCTGGTCTCTCTTCCTCTTCTTATAAGGGCCCTAATCCCATCATGGGGGCCCCACCCTCATGACCTCATCTAAACCTAATTACCTCCCAAAGACTTCATCTCCAAACACCATCACATTGGGGGTTAGGGTTTCAACATATGAATTTGGAGAGGGGAAGGCATATTTTCAGTCCATAGCTCCCCCTCCCAACACCAGTACAGCTTACCACACATACTGGTAACCTCAGAATGGCTGCAGACTTCCCGTAGCCATCCAGGCAGCTTGGCCAAGGCTCTGGGAGGCCTGCAGCCAGTGGAGGTGCAGTTACCCTCCTGTCTGCCCCCTGTCCTCAGTGGCGGATGTCTATTGGCTCCAATTGTTCCTCCCCTTGCTCAAAGTACTCCAGGGGAATCGGCAGGCCCCAGGACTTCCAGCCCCACAGTGTGGGCGACAGTGGTCACCTCTTTCCAGGGGAGGCTGACTGCCCCTTAGCAGAGTCCCTAGAGCTGGTGACAGGGCAGATCTCCCAAGCTGCCAGCTCTCCCTGTAGGGACAGCTGGGAGGGCAAGAGGAAGAGGGAGACATTCTAGTTAGGGAGAGAAAATATGCCAGGAAGATACTGGAGAATAATTCCATGGTAATACTTGAACAAGTTCAAGTTTATACTGGTCCACAATCCCTTATCTGCAATTCTGACATCCAAAGATTTCTAAATATTAAAAGTTTTCCTTAATCTATTTGATGGCAAAACATGACCTGAGCTGATGTGAGGCAGTGTGTGACATCTGTATTTATTCCACCTAGAGTGCCTATTCCTATTTCCTGCACTGAAATGTCAAGGTGGCTGGTTGTGGAGTGCAGCCCTAGACCAGGAGTTCCACTAGAATCCAACAGTGGAGGGATTCTAATGTCAACCTCTAGTCAAGGCTGTTTGAGCATCAGATTAGAGGCTTGAAAGGAAACAGCTGATAAGCCGAAGCAGGGCCTTTCAGTCTCCTGGGCATCGTCTTTCAGATAAGTACAATACACAGAGGTGTCAAGTCCAATGTCAAATGCATTCCATTCCACACCTATAGCTCTATAAAGGCCACAGAGAACTACAGTTTGGCTTCCCTGCACTTTCTACTTTGGCAAGAGTAATGCCATCAACCTTCTGGAAAGCACCGCCTTATAGAGTGTAATGGGTGAAGTGTTCTTATAAAGCGGGTAATCTGGGCACAAAAACAAGCTTGCACAAACGGGAGGTGATGTGAAGACTGCAGTTATGCTGCCACAAGCCAAGGACTATTGGGGGCTACCAGAAGCTGGAAGAGGCAAGGTAGGATCCTTCTCCTACCAGGTACAGAAGGAGGATGACCCTGCTGACACCTTGATTTTGGACTTCTGTCCTGCAAGACTGTGAGATGATAAATTCCTGTTCTAAGCTCCCTGTGCCCCTGCAGCTCCCTCTGCCCGGCACACTCTTCTCCAGCTTCTTCATCTGGCTCACCCCCATCCGTCCCCTAGAACTCCCCTGCACCCCCTCTGTGAACTACGTCCTAACCTGCAGACTGGGTCAGGCATGCCTCTGGGGTACGTGCATCTTGACAGAAGCAGCATTGTGGGGCCTTGTGCGTAGGGCAGGAACCATGGCCCCCCTGTTGGCCCCTCGCCACTCCTTGAGGGCAGGGTCCAGGCCCACAGAAGGCCCTGAGAATGGACTGGATGACCCCGATGTTGGCTTTTCAGGAACTCCCCTTGGCCCTCCATAAAGCAAGGTGAGTCCACCTGTTTCTTTCTGCAGGAACTCTCCAAGCTGGGTCTGGGGCGTGACATGGAGGTGGAGCTGCGGATTTTTCAACTGCCAGTGGATTACAGAGAGGTGAAGCAGAGGGTCACCAGAATCTGGGAGGATCTTCAACCGCAAGTAAATGACAGCTGGGGAGGCAGTTGGGCTGGGGGACAGAGGGCTGATTATGTGGTGGAGACCCAGAACCTGTGAACCCCAGGACACTGTTTCTAGGGTTGATGGCTGAAGTGTACCCTGCCCCTTCATCCCACCAGTAAGGGCCCAGATGATTTCATAAGGGTCTATTTGTAAAAGTTTAAGATGAAAGACAGAGTAGATCTTGGAATAAGACTCTGGAGAGAGAGAAGGAGGAAAAGAAATGGAAGCTTTATTCCCAGCCCGGACCCAAAGGTAGGTAGTTTCCACCTAACAGAGAGGCCCTTGGGTTAGGTCCCAGCCAGGCCCTTGCAGGGCAGGTGGGTTGTGAGGTGGGCTGAGAGGTAAGGACCTCTTGGACCTAGGAGAGCAGTTTGAGGGCAGCCCCCACTGGGAGACGGGAGAGTGGCCCACCTAGGGAGGCCCATCTTCATTACTCCCAGCCTATCTTGCCACAACAGAGTTACTATATAGGAAGCTGGTACAAATATCCCCCAAATACGACGACCAGATAATATTAATAAAACACAGACCACCAAACCATTAAGACAACACCCCAAATATTTTGATAAAACAATCAGCTATTTTTTCAAAGAGGAAAAATAATCGGCTCAAAAAATTCTAACAATATTTTATTAGACTGTTACTAACTTCCTTTATTAAAGAGTTTCATAAAAGAGATGGAAGCCTCCACAGAAAGGCTAAGCTTCTCCTGGGACATGCTTAGATACCAGCCGGATCCCCCAGGGAAAAAGCGAATACACTACCCTGTAAGAATATTTTAAAATATAAAAGTATTTAAATTAGATGCCCCATGGGTTTCTATCCAGCTGTTTTTCATTCCAGCACATTCATCAGGGGAAGCAGGCAGGGGTTGGGGGTGATGCTGACACATTTGGGATACTGAGGTGTCTTGCACCCCGGAGCTCTCCCTCTGTGTGGTCTGGGGGGCAGAGCAGACCTCAGTTTCCCGAATCTCCTGCCGCCACGTGTGTTCACACAGCTCGTTGTGCATGTGGGCGTGGACCCCGCCGCCAAGGCCATCTTTCTGGAACAGTGCGGCAAGAACTGGGGCTACGGGGACGCCGACATCCGAGGCTTCCACCCTGAGCATGGCGTGTGCCTTCCAGATGGCCCAGAAGTGATCGCTTCGGGAGTCAGCATGAGGGCAGTCAGCAGGCGCGCGGTGGTCGAGGGCGTGGAGGTGGCCTTTTCCCGAGACGCAGGCAGGTGCGTTTTGTTCCTGGGCACGTAGGGGAGGAGGAAGGGCTGAAGTGGCCTCTGACCAGCCTTTCTCCTGGGATGTGCCATTCTGTGCCATCCAGCTGGGTGCTTGGCGGCGGGGAACAGCCCAGAGTCACCCTGCACACTGGCCCATTGCTCACTCACGCCCAGGGCTGGTTCCGAGGTCCCCTCCCACTCACCGGCCTGTTGGCTGGCAGAGGAGAAGGGGTGGGATGAAGATGTTGAGAGCCACTAACATTTTGTGGATGTTTTATTTTTATTTATTGCTGGCAAAGTTGTGAATTAACTTCTGGTTTAGCCCAGATGAAGATTAATTTACCTTTTCTTCTCCAGACTCTGACCCCCTAGGAGATAGTTACTCCTCCCTGCAAAGAATGAATGAACAAATTGTTAACCAAATTAAGTCCTATGAACCCTGCTCAGGTCCTAGCCTGGCCTCTGAGTGTTCTTTTTCCCTTTGGGTTCGAGCTTTATTCAGTGGCCAAAGAATGGTGAAGTGGGAACTAAGTTCACAGATCAACTTCTCACCTACCTGGTGAGAGAGATTTAATTTTAAAGATAGAGACAAAGGGAGGCAGAGTGAGGCTAATGATGGGGAGGCATATGCATTAGTCTGCCTGGGAAGGGGCAGGGCTTTTTTTTTTTTTTTTTTATCCTTTTTATGGTCCTTAATCGCTGGTCCTAGACACCAGTAGGTGTGTCTTATTAAGCATATTAAGCTAGTTTAGTAAAATCAACTGACCTGTTGGAGGTCAGGTTCCTGGCCATCTCGGTCCCAGCTAGTACCACCTGTTTTTGTTTGTTTGTAGCTTTCTTTTTTATCTCTGGATCCTTTAACTTACAGATTTACATTAAATCCTGCTAAAGGTGGGGGTTGGCAGGTTTTGAGCCAAAGACCTGGAGCAGCTCTGGCAATAAAATCCCCCTTTGCTTGTTATTGCTCCTCATTCTTGAGGGGCGTTGGAAGGGCAAAGATCTGGCTTCTGAACT